TTTCTAAATCTGCCATGTAATCCAACATTTAAATCTCTCCAAAATCTTGAGCCTCTAATAAAAACAATATGTACATTTATATTACTTTGTAGTTATCATAGCTAGACATAGGATTTTGGTTCGAAATGTCTATGGTAAATAACTTCAGCCATAAAACAAGCCCAAAAAATTGCAAGAAAGGTGTTACATGGTCGAGTGCTTTCACTTTATTGCACCTCCTATAAATCTTATTAAATGAGTCCATACCTAGAAGTCACAGTTTCTGATCTAAGTCAGCTAATTAGTGCCTGGCAGGATACTAACATGTGGTCTTGATTTGATTGGCATTAAATTGTTCACGGGGATGTTTTGACTGGATCCTTCAGTGGGAATTTTTGGTCCTTAACAGTTTGCTTTCCAAAAAACTGGCAGTCCTTAAATCAAGATGTGTGTTTTAGATTCTTCAGAGCAGAAAGTAAATACGGAAAAAAATATACTCCTCTGACCCAAGAAGTGTCTCCCGGCAGTTTTGCATAAGCTATTGACTTTATAGCCCGGAAAAGTCAACTGTGCGGTCACTGTAGTGAGGAGAGGGATGTTAGCTAGTTTAGATTGGCCACTACAGATAAATAGCGATGGCCTCTTGTTCAAATACCTCACAACCTCGGCCTGTTGAAAAAATAATGCATCCGCCCTTTCTTTCATCAAGGAGAAGATGAGTGTGAAGAGAATGGAATAAAAAAAAATTGTTACAACATCTACATGTTATGTCGATGTTTAAAGAGTTGAGTCTGAGCATTTATGTCGTACTATAAATGATCTCTGTTCACCAGTTTATAAAAGTCGATAAAGCACAGATCAATAGCGTCATCTTTAACTACACTGATTGTTTCTAAGTTGTGGAAGTGAGGAGTGTTTTCCTGATCAGTGGCTTACCTGCATATTTTTATTTTTTACTTCCCCTATCCACCTACCTATTTTCTTTTGTCAATAGCGTCCCTATCCTTAAATTCTTGTTACATGACATTTTATGTCACATCATGGCATTCTACTGCATAATTCACCATTTTTTGTTATTATTAGTTTTTGTAAGACATAGTTCATCCAGTCACCATGTATGATGTTGGTGGGATGGTGGTGGCTGTTATCAGGAGCTACAATTTCTCAAAACTCGAGGTACCTCCACGGCACCCACCTTTTCTTTAGAATCACTCAATACTGTTCAGATGGCGTTCTAGATTTTGCTTCATCATTAACCTTCTTCCAAAGCAAGAACAGGCCATCTGATTTCCATCTCCTCGGTGCATATACAACATAGAACATCTATTTACCAGAATGTTCCTGTTCTAAATTAGAACCTTGTGTAAACCAATCAAAGCAAGGACACAGAGGACATCCCCAGTTGACCTGTAGAGATTAATAAGCATCCCTCTAAGTACTTGCGTACCATCATTCTCAGTCATCTGTGAGTACCATTAGACACAGCTGCGGTTCAGTATTTTATTTTTCACTGGTGTAACCTATAAAATCATATTGAATTCATCTAAAACTAAAGAAATATGGATTCACTCTTGCCTACATATGTCAGCAATTACTACTGAAACATATTTGGCTTCACGAACACTTTAGGGTCAGATGTAAAAAAGGACTTTGATGCAACGGTTATGTCATTTTCTCCCTGCACCTCGTAATCAATGTGCTTGTTTTATGTCATCAAGACTCCCAGTCCGTGTGATCAGTGTCCGCCGGTAGGTGGAGTTTATTAAACACAGATGATGAAGTATATTGTCAAATTATGAGCCCTTTGCATGTCGTTTTTATTCTCTCTGCATCAAAAAACCCTGTCAAATAAAATCTGTCAGAGCTTGACCTCCTATTTTAGTTTGATATTTTCTCCTCCTGTGCTCACATAGAAGTACCCCCTTACAGTCCCTTCATCTCTCCATAGTTAAAATTTTGTAATATTCTGTACTTGATCAGCCTAATTGGGAGCACATCACAAGAAATTCAGATCTCAGATCAAAAGTCGAGTTCATACTTTTTGCGGGAAAAATTTTATTCAGGCATAATTGCGATCACCGTAAAAAACGTGACTGCAATTTATTCCTTGCACTTCACTTTTACTTTTAATGCAAAAGAGATGATACATATTTCTCGAAAAAGGCAGGATGACTTGCATGAACTTTTATCAGAATAAAAAAAGATGAAAAATAGTGTAAAAACCTCTGTGGCTGTAGCAACCCAATGGGATCGTGTTCAATTCCGGAACTCAGGTGCATTAACAGCTCTCTATTACAAGCACGATCCACAGAGATCCTGAGGTTGAGAACAGGATTCTGTTGGGTCAGTGTTGGCACGGGAGCTTTAATAAAAATAACAGAAAATTCAAGGCAAAGGTATCCGAAGCAGGGTCAGGCAGATATCAGAGTCAGAAGGTCCAGAGGTCAGGGTGGGCGGCAATCAGCAAAATCCAGAGAGCCGGCAAAGTCAGGAAACCAGCAAGGACAGGAGACACAGGGAGACAAATGCTAGGAATTCTGAGGCAGGTAACAAAACAATCAAACACTGACTAAAAGGAGTACTCTGCATATGAAAGAATGGCTCAATCACATAATCTGGTCTCACCTGTAGGAGGAGTTACCTGAGGTCAATGGGACTGACTGTGGGACTCAGCCCTATCTTGGATGCATCATTGTCCTGGCTCCACCCTTCAGCCACACCTCCACCAACTTCTGACCTGCAGACCATTCTCTTCAGTGAATCGAGGTTCAGAGGATGCCAACTGTGGTGCAGCAGCCACAGGCACTATGACCACTGTGGACAGACCTCTAGGGCATCGCAGGTAGCCCGGGACATGTGAGTACTGCCAGCGAATGTGACAACAGCTCAGATATGTAGTAAAAGTTAAGAACAAGCATCTATGCCATTATTGGCACTTTAATAAAATCCCAATGTATTGTTCATTCTAATTGCCTTTGCTAATTATACCGTGAAGCCTGGTTTTTGACTGCTTTGTCTGCAAGACAACCCAGTTCTTATACCAAAAATATTTCACAATTCATAGTAACATGGTATCTTTTACTTCTTCATTTACAAGAGTTCTGCATTGCTGCAGTGAAAATGAAGCAAGAATTGATGGAGGAACTTCATGCGAGGAACGCAACAGAAATGAGATAGTTTTGGATGAGCAAAGAGCGATAAAGAGATTTGTGGATTGAGATAAGTTTTAAAAAGGGTGGCTGACATTAAGCTAGAGGTGTGGAAATAAAGCTGGATAGGGTAGGACGTGAGGCAGGTGGATGAATAAAACTGGAGTAGGTATAGTGTAGTAGATAAAATGGTGCTCAAATTTGACTTGGTCAAAGCATCTTTTCCAAATCTATAACATTTTTGGAACAGCTTACTATCAGATGAATGTCAGTTCAGCTCGGCATAACCAAGATTCTGATTTTGGAACCTAACCAGAAGAATCAACATTGCACATTTCGAATGGTCAATGTCAGTTTTCAGAGTTCAGGAATTCAATCTATTACCCGATGTATGGTACATTTTGTTGAATGGCAGTAAATATATACATACGCAGTAGCGAAGGCAAACCATTTGCTTTGAATGATTTACCAGTTCATTTGGAGGTTTCTTTTAGCCTTTTATTCTATTAAAATCCCACTGGAAGTCTCCGTAGAAGTAAATTTAATTCCTGTTAATTAGCCGATTCCATGAATTCTCACTTCGCTTTATCATGTGTCTTCATTTGCATCTGTGTCAATTAACCTATCTAATCACGGTAATTATTAGATGGATTAAAAATACACAATATTTATTGCAGTACATTTTAACACATTAAGCCTTCTCGCTTGTGAATCTGTTCAAGAAAAAGAAAGTGTAACCGTGTGTGGTTCCCTTATTTACCACTATAATGTCTTAAAGCATAGAACTTAGTAGGGCTAACCATACAGATATCTTAGCCATAATTTTATATAGTGTAAGAGATCCTCTATTTAACATATATAAATAATTGAGAATACAATATAAAATAAGGATTGTCTTGGAAGCAAGATTGTCTTTTGGATATTTATTATATAAAAATATAAAATCCATTATAGCAGAGTTTATAAGATTAAATTACATGCTTGCAAATATCATTAATAGGTTAACATACCCTTCTGAACATGTCATCATGTCAGCCTCTCTGTCATTTTAAGATGGAGCAGCGTCTGTCTCCAAGTCTCTCCTCTGTATCTTAACATTTAAAAGTACACCTATTTATACCTTAGGTGTCTCCATTTTAGGTTACTGTAGTTCAAATATGAAAAAGTAACACTTCTTTTACTTTATTCAATTTAGGTCCTCCCTTAATTTGGCAAACATACAAGGCCATAACTAAAGGGTGTATACGTCATGGAAATTTTCCTGACTTAGTTCAAGATGGCATCTTAAAGTCTGAATAGGTTATCTGTTGTTTATACTAAGTCGTAAGTGTACAGTCGTGGGAGATTCCCGGATTTGGGGAAGTTCCATTAACTTGGGGTTACCACAGTATATTGTGTACTGCAAGAGTCGTAGCATAGCCTTGAAGCTTGTTTATGCATTATTGTTATTGTAATTCGTCTGGGACAAAATGGCGCAAACATATTATGCACTGAGGTTATTGCTTAAAGAAACAGTTATGAAAAACAATATGTTCCATTTCTAACACCTTGTCAGTTTGCAATATCTCTTAAAGACAAAGTACACAGTTTAAGAAATACAACATTTCATTCTAAAACTTGTAATATTTGCATTTGCCCGTAACACCCTCTCCATTAAACTGTGGGCATTGTAGCGCATTTCTTCCTTAAATTAGTAAACCAAAGTTCTCCAACTGTCTTTAGGTTTTTTATGCTCCCAGCATCTTTGATCATTGTTGTAACAGTAAAATATCCGTAGTGTGATCTTTGCCTGTAAAGGTGGTTGATTAAAATGAGCAAAGCTTTTGTCTGGGAAAGAATTGAAAAGAACACCAAGTTCCAGAGTAAGATATACTTGGATGGATCCGGATACGAATTGTAATCCAAAATTAAAAATAGTAATTGTATTTGTAATCCAAAGTCTTTAAATGCCTGTAGAAGTTTACATTCCTTAGATACATTGCTGGAGGTTGTGTTTGTAGAATACCCGGGTATTTGTTGTAGAGTATAGGTTGTAGAGTCCAGCCTTCCAAATATTTGGCTAGAATTGTTTGCAGATATTGATCAGCATCATCTGTTATCACCGTGGTGTTGGTATTTGTCTTTGCCTTTTATTTTGTTTTTTCCATGAAACATTTTTAAACAGTTTATGATGTGTATAGATTTTATACTCTCCGATATTCTTTTACGGAATCAATTAATTGACAGCATTTCCAAGACATTGTCTTAAGTGACATGGATCCCGTTATAGTAAATGTTATGTTGATACAGCAATTGAAGTGGATTCCCAAGAACGCCTCTTTTTGCGGTGTTTGAATCTTTGTAACATCTCAGTGATAGACATCTCACTGACATCAGGTGCTGTTGTGCTAAAAATGTTAACAGGTAAAATCAGTGGAAAAATCTTTACATTTGTTATACTTTGTATAATAATGATAGATGAAATAGTAACATAGTTAATCTTTCTAGTGTTTTGTATTAAAGATAAACACCCCTGTATATGATTTAGATATATAAGGATAATTTGAAGCAGCAAAGTATTTACCGCCCTTGTTCACAATGGTATGTAAAATTACATTCTCTTTAAATGTTAAAAATACTCCTTTATTCAAAATCTCTCAATATATTTAAAATAGTTGCTAATTGGAAATATGACATTATTCATCTTTCTTTGTCCTGTTAGGGAGAAGACAACTTATTCCCTAAGTTATAATTAGTAAATATAATAACTACAGTTATTAGTGGCTTAAAATACCAGAAACACCCCAAAATTGTCTTCAAACCATTTTTTTTTTTTTTAACCAAGATCTGACAGCCATTGTGGAAAGTTACATTCGTGAGATTGGATGCTCAACAATGAGAATCTTAATTGTTTAAGTATATTTTTCAGTGGCTGTTGGGTGTAGCTTAAGATGGTTAGAATGTATTATTATTTCTAAAAGTGAGTTAAGAAAGCACTCCGATACAATATTGAAGGTGTTTATATTTTAACACTACCTTTGTATAGGTGGTTTTATGTACCTTTAACCATCACAAACCAAATAACATTTTCTTTGTATTTAAAAAACTGATAAAATATTTGATTACGTGTATTTTAATATATATATACATAGAGTGGTATGGATGTTGAATTTATATCTTTGACATCTTTTCACCAGTTTGCAATAGGTGACCTAAATGATCAATTTCCAAATTCATCATGTATATCACCTGGATGGGTTAATCCCTAATACTCTTTTACTTTCCATTGACTGGCCTTGGCTCTGGCAGACTGAATATTTTTATCATTATAAATAAACTTTATGATAGTTGAAGTAAAGTTTCTGCCTGTCTTAACTGTTTTTAACTGTTGAAGTATTTCACTTATATTAATTATACCACTCTGCAAACTTAAACGAATATCGAGTAGTTTCTGTTTTAATAAAAACATTTCACATTTTCTTTTAAGGTTTAAACCTTATTCATTATTGCAGTTGTTATTGCAATCATATGATCTTTAACTATCATGATTCAATTATTCATCTGGGTAATTAGCTGTTATGCTCTTATACGCAAGTTTAATATATTTGTTTGTAGGCCAGACTGCAGCTGCATATGGCATTTTAGCAATAATCTTCAATTGCGTTTCAGATATTCACAAAGTCTATCCACCTTTGTAATTAACACATAATGTGTTTATTTTATACCATTAATTATAGTATCTGTATTATATTACACATTGTCACTGACACATTTCTGATACAGGGAAAAAAATAGCATGATTGCTTTAGTAATTATAATTTTTCTGTCCATGCACCACATTCCTGGAAGTCCAGAATATAGCAATAATCCGTTGTCGTTTGATTCTATGGAGCCATTTAACGTTTTCATTGGTATAGTTATACCAAAAGAGCAAGGAGTACGACGGTAGATCACATCTGCAACAGAACCATTACAGATTCCTTGTTGTATCAATGTCTCTGTCTTTATGTTTACAGGAGGTCCTTGCTTTGCAGGTATGTACAAGTTTAAGAAAAGCTGCAAATCGTGCTTTAGTACAAGTGTCCCATGATGTCAGGTTTCTGAAAGATTTTGCTGGTCTTTTTATATTCCATTCTCTTGGCAGGGCATCTGCTCTTAGTAGGCCGGTATTGTTATTATTTATTAATTGCATCAAGGTTTCTTTCGTTAATTGATGTGTTTCTTCCAAATTCAAATTCATATGCCACCAAATGTCATTGTAAAGTTCAATGTTACAGAATATTGTTCCAGGATGGTTTTTCTCTCTAGTAGGAAATCTATATTCCTCTTCTTCTGATCCTTCCTATCAACCACTTTTTCTGAGTTGTAGTTAACAATCTGTGTCTTGTACTGTGAGGTGCTTTGATAGTCAATCTGGTTTTGTCAGTACCATGTTCCATCTTGAAAAACAGCTGGGTGTTGACAGTTATCAGCCTTTATTTCTTTTTCCGGTCATCTTCTGTCTGGAGACATAATAACAATGTCCAGAATTAGCATAGCACTTCTTTTCAGCATAAGAAGGCTGTTTGCAGTAGTCACTTAATGATAAACTATACGGCAAAGTCTTTTCTTAATCACCTTCATAGGTGCATCCAAAGTCTTTCACAAGCATCTATCTCGTCTTTTTCTGTTTTCAGCATGCTTTGCCATCATCGTTGAGTCCATTATTAGGATTTGAAATAGTTCAATCACATCTTTCTCACGTATAATCGTTTTTTGGAATGATCTCAATAGGTTCCTTGTGAAATACCAGTGTAGGTCACATTAGCAATCATTTCACTGTGAGCTGTGTCTCTCCTTTTGAGATAGTTCTTGGAGGTAGTCCTCACGATCAAAGAACTTGTATAGTGTGTTATATAGTCCTGCTTGTTAACATAATCCCAATGCAGTTTTAAAACGACAGCTAGGGTTGATGTTATGATAATACTGCAGATTGTAAGAAGGAGACACCATAACCAATTTTCTAGCATCCTTTTGCTTCCATCTTTGCATTTCTTTCTTACTGTACAAGATAATTCAGGTTCAGTCTGTTTTCTCCAGAGTCTTTCTTATAATGATGTTGATGATTCATTTTTCATTCATTCCATGTTAACTGTGAATGTATCACGTCTGTCTGTTCATCCTTCTCCTTCACATTTGCAGGTTCAGATGTCAGATCATGATTCAGTCTGTCTATGATTCTGGTGGCTTTTCTGTCGTCCTCTGTTTGTTTTATCTTGCCATCTTTAACAGCATCCATTGTGTCAGTCAGTGGTTCTGTGAATGTCCTGTTAATATTTAGCAGGTTGTAAAATATCAAAACTTACTGTTCTCTGTTGGGTCTGATTGTTCTCTGTAGTAAAAGTTCTTGGTATCACAGAAGGAAATAGGTGGTGGTGCAAGGCGAAGTGGACTGGAAAAAAAAAAATTCCCTAAATTTCTCTAATAGAACCAATGGTTCTAAGCTCTCCCTGGTGCAGAAATATATTTGTCAGTGAAAAACATGTAACATTTCATATGGTGTCTCACCATTTGTATCATCAGGTATGTTGTGAATGCTCATCTGTACCATAGGAATAAATAGATACCACTGTGTGGGGCAAGCAACTAGTAACTTGGTTAATAATCATTTAACCTCAGCATTCTCCCAGACCACAACCCCACATCTTTGGGGGTGGTTGGGGCACTGAAATCCCAAAGTAACCCAAATGTGGTTGCCCAGTTTTAGGTTTCCTTTGCAGTAACTGCAGGACCACCATCCAAATGGATGGTCCTGGGATTATCAAATGCATACTAAGGAAGTGAGACTAGAAAACGTGGCATCAGAGGTTGCACTTCGCACAGGATATATCCAAGTAAACCTGGTACATGCATCAACACATACAAAAACATATTTATAACCATGAGATGTTGGCAGACTTTCAATATATAGTAATTCAAAAGTATGTTGGATATTAATATTTCAATAAACAATACATCAGTAATGTGGCAATAAGCAAATGCTTATGATTACTAAACACATGAATTACAGTATTTCCCATATTGTGACCACCAATATTCCTTTTCAGGAGTCAAAAGTACATTACCTCTCTCTATAAGAGCTTGTCCTAGCCATGAAAAAGCTTTTAGGGCAAGTCCATCTTTCCTCTATAGGAAGAACAACCAACATATTACCTTCAATGGTTATTATGTAATTAACCCCTCTAAACGATAGGAGTATTTATGCGGATACCAGGTGGATAAGGTCTGGATATCCTTGCAAGCATAAACTCTGCATCATGACTGAGAGATAGGGTATGCGATGTGATCCAGTGACCACAGAAAAGCGTTGGTAGACACATTGCATCAAAGTGCCTGTTAACGACATGAGGAGAGGGACCATGCTTTGTTATAAGCATGTCCATACACGTATTACAATGCCAGGCTTTCAATTTGTTATCACAAAGCAAAACGCAGTTGTGGATATAAACCCACGACGTATCGTAAGAAAAACTGTTTGAACACCAGACTGAGACTCGAGATCAGTGAACAGTGGACCAAAATAGATAAATTAAATCTTATCAATTAATATAGTTTCAATATACTTTCTTTAAATTACTTTATCCTCTGTATTAACTATGAAATATTAAAGTTAAAACAATAACATTTAAAAGCCAACTTTTAGTGTGGATAGGAATTACAAGGCCGTTCATAATGGGAGATAAAGAACAGCTTTTTAAAACCGAATAGTCTGTGAACACAAAATGACCTTGCGCCGAAAATTCACTTGCAGGGGAAAAACAAAACCTTCTTTTTTTCTTTTTTCTTTAGTAAGTTAATTAATTAATTAAATGTAGTTAGAACCTCCCTCAAAGACCCGATGACTTTGCAAGAAACATGTCGTCCTTAAATACTGGGTAAGTCTATTAAACAGTGACATAGCATTGCTACCCTGTGTATTATGTTGTCACAGCTATAATGTGCAGTATTACAAACTATTTATAAGTGTTGTGCAAACTATTCATTAAAAGCTAGTGGTCTAGTGAGCTATAGAACATTTATTTATTTATTCTTTAAACCTCTGACCTCAATCGGCAAAGCAATATTGTAATGGTGTCCATTGCAATC